ATGTCTAACGGTTGGCTCGCCCTCGCAAAATTCAAACACATTATAATGATAAATGAGTGCGATTATTTCCTTATTACCATCAAATTAATACTTCTCCCAGCCATTGTAATCAGTTTGTTTTTTATTTCTGTGCCACACCCAGGTCTAAAGACAAAAAGGTAACAACAACCAAACGGCGGCCAAGCGATTTATTGGCTAAAAATGAGTTACCACTCAGTGGCCCATAATAGCAATAGAATTTATTAGATCAGACTTGAAGATACCTAGTATTTAAAAATGGTATCAAAGAAAAAGGGTCAGACAGAGCCATTATCCATAAAATTTGAACTATAAATTTATTATAATTACATTTTAAGCTTTAATTACTACTTTAGTCTATAACCTATTTTTGTCTGGAACTCATATACCCTCTAATGTTAAAGAAAACCACCATGAAGCCGAAATCAAACACAATCAAGCGAATGGGGCTTCGTTCTAGTTCCAGTTCGGGTTACTTTGCTTGCACAGCCATTTGAGGTTGTCTGTTTGGTTGGTTAAAAATAATCAGACCACTTCGTGTCGTGGCAAGGACATCCAGGGGCCAAAGGACACCCACCGCGGTAAACATCGTTTGTCAAGAGCTGTGACTGCCAAGGACTGTCCAGCTCCATCTCCAGTTGCAGGACGAGGGTGACTTCTTCCAGCACTCCATGGTATCCTTCTTCAAGTCGGGGGCCGGGGACTGACGTGAGTCGCGGCCGTGCGATAAAATAACCGGTTACAAAATATTTGTTGACATTCCGCGGTAAATTACCATAATTAGTTGATTCGAGAGACCGACCCATGTTTGATCGGGACTGCCGAAGGTGGTAGTAGGTAGGTGGGTGGGTTGTGTGTACCTCTCCATGTCTCCATGTCAGTCGGGCGACATAATGCCAAGCAGGGCACTGCCCACGGCTAAAAGGATAATAATTAGAGCATATGTACGGATTGAGTGCAAATATTGACTGTGTGTTTCGTTGCTGCCCTCCATTTGTCATCGTTCCGGGTCGTTCTGGTGCATAAACTCGAATTAATCAGCCAGATATCAATGTCCGTACAAACATAGCTCTACATAAAACATATGTAAGCATATATGTTGGACATATATCAGCATACTATGCAAACTTGGTTATGGATAGGTTATTTCTTTGTCCTGGTTGTGGTTTCAGAGGTTACACATGAGGTACTGTCCGAAAAAAAATCAAAAAAATACTATTTGGAGAGTATAGTTTGGAAACTATTGTAATTTTTTATAGAAAGTGACTCCTATAAGCACAATATTCAGAAGTATTAGACAATTTGTAACCATTATAGCTCAAAATTTAAATGAAATTACTGAAAACAAATGAAAATAAAGTTTCTACTAAAATTTGCTTGTTTAATAAAGATTTCCAATATTATTTGTAAAGTATACAAGTCTCCTAAAATCATTTAAAGCTATGGCTTTCTAGGGACTACTAAGATTATAGACTGTGAATGTCAAAACTATCAAATTTTATAATTTAATTAATGATAAGCTAAATCCTTAAACTACTCTTCTGCCTAATATTTCAAATCAAAAGTCCTAAAATGCCCACATCCTTTTGTCGAAAATGACAAAGTCATTAGTTAATCTTTCCCTAGCCTACCCTCCCCATGAGGACCCATCGAATTCGAAGGCCTAACCAATGAACCGCAAATTAATCCCAATTCTCAGTTCCCAAATCCACAACGACAATTAATATGCCGCCAAAGCCCACAAAAAGTAAAGGGATGCGGAGAGGGAACAAGGGATTATGACAGTCAAATGACTTTAAATTAAGCCGATGTGCGTCTGTCGATTTAATTAAAATCAAAACAAAATCTTGGTCCTGCGCCACGCCCTCTGACCAACCATCCAGCCATCTCAATAAAGCCCCTTTCGAAATAGACAAATAATAAAACCATAAATAATGCAAAACAATAAATGAGCAAATATTCATAAATTATTAACGCCCTGGCCGGGTCGCAGCCTTCCTGCAGGAGCTGTTGCCTGACAAAAGGCAGGACAAATACCCAAAATATTTTGCCAAAGCATTTAAAAGGACAATGAGGCACGAACCAGATGACAGAATCCGGAGAAGAAAAGCAAATCCCCGCAGCAAATAATTGAGCCTCATAAAGGAAATATCATTCATTGATTTTCCTCCGGCAACCTCAACAGATTCTCGACTTCTCACTCGTCCTCATCCTCTTTTTCGTTCCGGCAGCAAGTGGATGAAGTCGTTGGGTGGCTGTGATGGGTGGAGGAAGGTCCTTGCCACCGGGGGTGGTGGTTTTTTTTTCTTTGGGGCTGCTGTCAGCACAAAAACAATATGGACAGCTGACGAAACTATCTCAGGGGCGGCTCAGGACAACTTGGGAGGCGGTGGAGGACTTTCACATGATTCCAAAATCTATGCCTCGGCATGATTTGCACAAAAAATTGAGCTGGCAAATTTGTCAGAGAAAGGACACCACGAAGGATACTCGAAAGGTTGAAGGGGACTGAGAAACGAGTCGAGAAACTTGGACTTTTGGGAGACGGGGAGAAAAAATGATAAATTATTAAGAGATTTTTGTTAATTTGATGACACTGATGATGGCCAGAACCAGATTATCCTGCTTGCCCTCATTCATTTTTTAACCAATCTGGGGTATGTTCTTGAGGATATAAAGATTATCCTAACAGTATTTTTATTCTAAAAATATTGGATTTCCACATATGTACCTCTTAGTTTTATGTTTTATGAATTTTTCAGAAAAAGTAACTTTAAATATATTCCTAAACTTACGAGTACTTCTTTAAACACACTTTTAATTTATTTAACAAAAAAACATTAGTTTTCAATTTATCTAATAAATAATTTACTGAAATCTACCTTCTAGTATATTTATATAAATATTTAACAAGTTTATTTATGAACTTGTTAACCACTATAATATTTCATAAAATTTATAACAAATTGGTCTCCCCTTAACTAAATATTTTTAAAGATACCAATGAATTCTGGAGAATTCTACTAAAAGTTGCCTACTAAATTTTCTCGCTCTGCATGCTATAGCAATAAGTAAACATTTATTAATTTAAAGATATTTTACTTATAAAACTAAAAAATACTAATTTTAAAAAACTAAATAACTTTTGAAATTCATTTAATTTTGATATCGTTCCGTTTCTGTACCTTCCGATAGCTCAAATTTTTTACTAATCTGACACATAGGTGGCGCTAATTTTATTATCGATTCCTCCACTATTTTATCGACGTTTTCACACCTCTAGCAAGCCTAAAACGATACCGATATTCGATATAAATAAATAAACAAGCAAAAAAGAAAACAAGAAGCCATCACAAAACAAGCCAAATGCTTCAAACTTCAAGGAAAAAGTTTATTAATCACTCGACATGAGTGGCTACAACCGTCGGCGGCCCTTGCAAAAGGTTCGGAGCTTCGACGCCGAGTTGGACGAGTCCGGATACACGTCCTTCCGAGCGCAGCACAATTCCACCGCTGAGACGCCATTTTTGTTTGGGGAAAGCGAGGCCGAGAACGAGAACTGGCGCAATGCCTCTAATACAGCGTTTCTGGCTTCTCGCGGGATGTCCACCCCAGGTGGCCAGCAGGAACACCTCTGGGGAAAACAACATCCACCCACTGTACCGGAAATGCGGGGCTCTCCATCCAAGGATGAAGTCTCTACGACGCCGCGCCTCCAGGAGGCACACAGCATGCCAAAGCGTCGCAAGAAGCACTTCCAATCACCTCACAGCAGCCCCAAGAAGTCAAAGAAGCTGCTCTTTCCTTTAGAGCAGCCGAAGCCAAAGAATCGCTTCTACGGAGGCATGGAGCACCTGGACATCGTTGCGAGGCTGTCGCAGACTCAGCCAGCGCTGGAGTCCATACTGCGGCATGTGAACGCCCACACGCTGGACGTGATGACCCAGGTGTCGCAGGCATGGAAAGATGCCGTATACAAAAGCCAGCGAGCCGTGGAGCGGCTGCAGAACCACCGCATCAAGATGAATCTCTCCAAGGAAAATCCGCTCGTGCCCAAAAGGCGACGTCAATTGGCACGAGCCAATACAACTACAGTGCCATTACAAATATCGAATCACGGCAATCAGTCCCACAGTGCCTCTCTCCTGGACTCTGGATACTCCAGTATTCACCTCCTGGCGTCGGATACTGGACGGGTGTTGCGGGAGCAGAAGCAAAGGGTCAAGTGCCCGCGCTGCGGACGGGGAAGTCGAGTATTCATCAGCGAAGCAGCACGCGAGGAATCCACGCTCTCCCAGACTTTGCCTTTAAGGAACCCATCGATCAACTCCGATGAACGGCTACCGCTGACGCGTTTTTTATCCCTGGACCTCGGCGAGATCAACAGTCCATTGCAGCAGCCATCATACAACTTTGCCGAATGCACCAGCCTCGTCTGCCAATTCCGTTTCTGCATCAACTGTCTGTGCAAGTCCCATCCCGGTGAGCGGTGCTTGGTCACCGAACTCGATACGCCCTCAAAGCTCATGATGCCCAAGGAACGCCTTACGCCGCCACAACGCACCCAGAATCGCGATCCCAAGATGAGGAGAAAGAACTCGCTGAAACGGCTCTGCTTTTAGCTCTAGCTTATCGTTAGCATTTAGTATGTGGGTCCTAATCTCATTCATGTATTATGTTTAGACCGTATTTTCATTGTCATCACGTTACATTCTCATGGTCATTTTTAAACCGTTCAAAGTTCGATTCCACGGAAATCCGTACCTCTTTGAGATTAAGTATAAAGAAAAGTATTTTAACATTGTATGCGATTTATAAAAAACATTAAAAGTAAGATACATTTTACAAGAAAATTGAATTCAACTATTTTGGGAATATTTTGTTAGTGCTTACTGTACTAGATGGTAACGCAGTTCCAGAGCAGTGGGAACAGAAAGTACACATTCCTTTGTTATCGAAAGTTATCGGTTCGTTGTCCACCACTAATGCAACTCAAAACACGTGTGGAGTGCGGTCGTTTATTATTCCGCGTAAAGAATTTTTATTTCAAAAGGAAGGAGAACATAACGCATTAAAATGAGTACCGCATTGGCCCAACAGTTGAAGAAACTGGCGGCGCCGCAGACGTCCGTCTCCTTGGCGGACGCGCGGAGCCGGGCCTCGATTCTGTTCGACCCAAAGGAGGCCGCCACCAAAGACCGACAGGCCATCTACGAAATTGGAGTGGTGGGACTGCAGGAGCTGACCGAGCTGAACCCGGCCTTCAAGGAATTCCACCTGACCCTTTTCGACGAAGCCACCCTGACTCTGGAGCGAGCCGTGGAGCTGCCGGAAGTCAATAAGATGTTGGACACAGCAATCGGAAAGTTTCTGCGGCTATTGTCGCCTTACTTGCTGCTGCGGCCCGCCCACATGGCATTTGAATGGCTGCTGAGGCGTTTCCAGGTGCACGAGTACAACCGCCGGTCGGTAATGGGCCTCATCCTGCCCTACCACGAGACCAATGTGTTTGTCCAGGTCCTGAAGACTATGCGAATCCGTTCCACAGACGCCGACTGGGCCTGGCTGCGTCGCCTTCAACGCCCTGGAGTCCCACTCGCAAAGACGGCCATCGTCAACCGGGCAGCCAACAATCCAGCCTTTCTCGGATTCATCTGCAAAAGCACCCAGAAGGCAGTCAAGGAGCTGGGTCCTCGGGCCTACCAATTGCAGGCTCAGATCAACTTTTACGCCACCGTGGTGGTGGGCGCCTTGCAAACAGCTCAGCCTCTGCAGGATTGGCATGTAACCACTATTCTCGAGTCGCTGCTGAAGAGCCTCGTATCGGACAACGTGGACTTCATGGCTGCCGCCTATGTGATTATTGCCCAGCTGGTTTCTCGCACCAAGCTCAAGAGCAAGATCTGCAATGCCTTGTTGGAACGTGTGGGAAACTGTCCCTTTGAGCGGCTTCAGAACGAGTCGCTGCTCCTGCTGCTGTGCATCTACGGAAAGCAGCAGCATGCTGTGCCGCACTTCACGCCGGGCACCATTCTTAACTTGGTGGGACAAAAGTGGCTCATCCCGGCGTTGGCATCTCTGGCCAAGGGCAACATCGCCATCCAGTCGATCTGCATTCCGCTCGTGACGGGCGCCGTGGCAGCCATCCGAGAAGACGATCCCGCTTCTAGTACCCACAAACAGTTCCTGGATAACTTGTTGTCTGAGGTGCCCTTGGCTTCTTCATGTGCTCAGCAATTGATCAAGTGAGTCTTCGTTAGAACTTAACATTAGAACTCTAATCTTAATCTCCCTTTCTTTTAGCTGCTTTTTGGATGCTTTTGTGGCAACGGAGGCCCCTGAGCCCATGGACACTCTGGAGTACAATGACGATACAATCGTAATCGACTCCGATGATGAAGCCGAAACAGAAAAAACCAGCTTTGATACTTGGTATTCTTCGTATTTGGAGAAACTAGAGCGTCGCTATCCGGAGGCATTCGACTTGTGCGTCAAGGAAGCCCTGAGAGCCAAATCCAAGACAAGTAATCGCCAGCAGGCCCTAAAGATAGCTCTGGGTGAGTATAACAAACTGTGACAATTGAACCAATATTGTAATATAATCACATCCCTAGGTTTCCGTCTCAACACCTCCGACGAAAAGGCTAAGAGCGCCTATGAGAAGCTCTATCACTACAGCTCCGACTGGCGTCTCAGTGCCGTCCAGCAGCTGTTGAAAAGTCTAAACTTGCCCAAGAAACGAGAGCGCAGCGTAAAGTTGTTGCAAGAATGCCTGCTGGACCGTATTAACGATGACAGTGGTGCTGTTGTGGCGGCTCTCCTTGGATTGCCCACAGAAACCATGGTCGAAATATTGGAACCTCTGCAGTTGGCTAAAACCCTGTGCCGGCTGGTTCAACGCGCCCAGTCCGAAAAGGATGCAGAGTGGCAAGCGGTAGTCCCACTCGCCGTGCGTCACCTCACCACCACCCATGTCAGTGGCACCTACGACTCCAATCTGGTGCTGCTGGCGCTGATGCCACTCGTCTTTCCTGAAAAGCCTCTAACAAAGGACGAGCATCAAGCTCTGCTGATTGTGATTGGCAGCGAGTTCGCCAGCAGGGTTGCGTTCCTTGGAGAGCTGAAGGTTACCGATACCTTTGAGGAGTTCAAGCTCAACGAACATCGTCAGCACTTCCTGGATATAATTTCGGGAACTGAGCAGAAGCTGGTAAGTCAAGAAAGAGCCTTGCTCCAAAGCATTGAAGATCACGGTGGAGAGGCCTACTTGCTGGACGCCTCCCAGCTAACCCACCTGCTGCTGTTGCTCACCGCCTACGCAAAGAGGGAACTACAACCGGAGGAGAGTCTCCACATATTGGAAAAGATCTCCCTTTATAGTCCGCGACTCCAGTTCCGTATGGTTAAAGGTCATGGCAGTGGTCAGGAGTTCGTTCCGCTGCAGTTGTATCTAGATTTCCTTCTCACTTTGGTGAAAAACACCAAGTGGACGTCGTTGGCTTCCATACCATGGACTGAGATAACCGATGAACTGCGTCTGTGCCTGCGGCTCGTGGACATCCACTGCAAGCAGGTGTTTTCGGAGCGTAGTGATCAGAGCGAGCACCTCGAGTGGACGCGCTCCCTCCAGCAATGTCTGGCTCTGATGCTTCCCGAGGCCCAAGATCGACTGGAGCTGCTGACAAACTTTTACATCTTTGAGAGCTTGCCGGAACTGTGGCCACGTAGCTCAGACTACACTGTATTCCGCCTGCAGGGTTTCCTGCTACTGGATGCAGTGCTGTCGAATCAGAAGTCGCAACTGGACGTCGGTCTGGTCCACGTATTGCGAGTGGCCAACGCCTGCGGATCGCCACTTCACACCCTGCGGCTGCAGGCCATCAACACGCTGCAGTTGATGAGCACCCGGAAGCTGGTCGCCCACGTGGAGCAGCTGGTGCGATTATTGCTGCAGCGGCGGAGTGAACTGGGTATGGATCACGAGCAGTACGCCCTCATTCTGTACACCATTCTGGAGCCCGAAAACGCGACTGCAAAGGAAAAGTTGGTCCTCTCCAAGCTGAAGCGTGCGGTGCTGGCCCTTGCAGCCGATCCCGAGCAGGCACCTACTTGCACTGCCGCCTTGCTGGTGGCCTTGAAGCACGTCAACAGCGAGCACTTCCTCGGGGAACTACTGCCTCTGGGCCTGGCATCCCTGAAGAAGATCACCGCCGCCGTGGGCGAGCAACAGTTGAAGCAGCTCCCGTGGCCGCACAGCGACATCTACAAATCGGTGATGGAGCGTTTCGAGGGAAGCGTGGCGCTAAATGTGTTGCTTCAGAAGCCCTTGGCCTGGGAACTTCTGGAGACCAGCTTCGCCCATCACGACGCCTACATCCAACTGGATAAAAAGCTGCAGCCCCTGCCGTGTGTCCTGCTGAACAGCCTTACCCCAGAAACCTTCGAGCGTCTGCAGGCCCAGCACAAGGTGGCTCTCATCAAGCTGATTGTGGAAGCGGCAACACTCTCGGACAACGACAGCATCTTCCTGGCCAGCCACCGCTTGCTGAAGCGCTGCCGCCTGGAGTGCAAGCCTCTTGTGCCGATCCTAGCGGAGATGGCCGCCAGTAAGGGACAGAAGCCGCAGCAGGAGCGTGGAAAGACTGCCAATAAACGACGCTCTGCAGGGGACAACCTGCAATTAGACTTGACCAGCTTATCCTGGAAGAAGGGCATGACATTACTGGAACTCCTGGAGCACAAGAAGCTGCTTGTTGGAGCTGAGCTGTTGATTCCGTCACTGTTTGAGCTTCTCCAGGCCTGTCTTACGCTGGAGGAACAAAGTGCCGCTGAGTACCCCAAGCAGCTGATCCTCACCAGCTTGCTCCACTCGTGCCAAGTGGCTCAAGCTGCAGGCGTTCAATTGGCCAAGACCCTGCCGGAGTCCAGTTTCCGCATCGAGCTGGTGGTCCAGTGCCTGCGGAACACGCGGAATCCTCAGACTCAACAGCACGCCCTGCTCTTCCTCGCCCACTGCGCTGGCATGTATCCACAGCAGGTGCTGCACAAGATCGTGGAGATCTTCACGTTCGTGGGCTCCACAGTGGCCCGACACGACGACGCCTTCAGCCTCCACATCATCCACAACGTGGTGGAGTCCATTATTCCCATTTTGCTGCAAACGACGGGCCAGAAGGAAAAACTGATCATCCCGGTTCTGAAGGTCTTTGCCGACATTTGCACGGATGTGCCGGTACACAGGAGGCTGCCCCTGTATGCTACACTGTTCCGCGTTCTGGATCCCAAGGTGCACCTCTGGCAGTTCTTGTGCATCCTGTTTGAAGCGCAGGTTATGCTGGACCAAGGTTCCAAAAAGGTTTCCCCGGAGAAGTCGCGATTGGACTTTGCCTCCGAGCTTACCTTGATGTTCGAGGATCCCGTTGTTGCCCTGCGAACTGCCATCCATCTGCTGGACTACCTGGCCAAGCTGCCAGCGAACAAGGGCAATCAGTTGACGGCGGCAGACAGAAACTCCTCCATCCTGGACACCGAGCAGAAGCTCTTCGACGTGCGCAACAGTTCCTTTAAACAGCTCCGCCATTACAAGTATCTGATATTGGAATTCCTCTCCGGAATCAGCAGCAGCAAAGAGTGGCAGGCCAAGATGAAGCGTCCCGATCCCACGGAGCTGCTGCCCCACTACCAGGACTTCATCGTCAAGACCCTGGCGTACGTGGGTGTGGTCAATGAAGCCATTATATCCACTGCCGAGACGCCGCTGCTCCAAAAGTACTGGAGGGTGTTGGCGAACTACGCCCACGATGTCCTGGACAATGCCATTGGACTGCTGGCGCCGGAGCACTTCCTCGGCGTCATCACAGAGCTGCTGCAGCACGACCTGGTCCATGTGCGCATCAAGGTCTTGGAGCTACTGGTCACCAAGCTCAGCCCCACCAACGATTACTTCCAGCAGTCGCCGCCCGATAACTTCGGTGTCCTCTTCGCCCCACTGGAAGCCATTATTAATGGAATCCTGGAGTCTGGCGCCGCCAATGCCCAGCATGCTCAGCTTCAGCAGACGGCCCTGCACGCCCTGCAGCTCCTGGCCCACCGCCATGGCCGTGACTTCATCGACGAGTGCCGGTCCCTGTTGGCTACTCTTACCAAGATCACCAAACGGCGCGCCAATGTGCCCAAGGCAGTGGTCGGCAATGTGGTGCTCACTCTCGTGGAGATCTGCGCCAGCTTGAAGGCTCATGCCCTCGCCCAGCTGCCCAAGTTTGCGCCACAACTGACCGAACTGCTGAAGGAACAGGTGCAACAGATGACGACGCTAAAAACGGGTCCGGACTATCTCTGCTCAACGCTCGTAAATGGTACGTCTCATTTCTAAAAGAAATTACCTTTTTTTTTTAAAACTGGACTTCTATTTTTCAGCTCTCCTCAAGCTTTTCAAGGCCTTGCCTCTTTTCCTGGGCCCCTACCTGGTGGACATCATCGGGGCTCTGGTGCGTCTGGGAGTGCAATTGGAACACCCTCAGCTGCTGCAGGATAAGCGTGCCCAAGCGCTTAGAGCGCAACTGGTAGAGGCTTGGACTGCGGTGGCCCAGGGCGTGGAGGTGCGCATCCTCGTTCCCAGCTGTTCCAAGGCCTATTCCTGCCTGCTGGAACACCAGGCCTACGATGAGGTCGGCCACTTGATGCAGCAGCTGCTGCTACAGTGCATCCGGCACAATACGACGCAGCAGTTGCAGCCAGTACAGGATGCCCTGAGCGAACTGTTCCTGCAGGCCCTCGAGTTCCGGCTACAAGTGCGGGGACGCGGCGTGGACAGACAAACGGTCTCGGAGGTGGAGGGCGCCATTGCGGAGACCTTTGTGACCTGGATTCTGAAGCTGTCGGAGGCCAACTTCCGGCCAATGTACTCCCGGGTGCACAAGTGGGCGCTGGAGAGCGACGAGAAGGAGACTCGTCTCACCTATTTCCTGCTGACCAACCGGATAGCCGAAGCTCTCAAATCGCTTTTTGTTCTCTTTGCCAGCGAGTTTGTGGACGATTCTTCCCGCCTCCTGGCCGAGCACAACACCATTCGGCCAGGGTTCTCCGCCGGGGATCGCGAAGACGATGTGGAGCTGTTGACAGCCATCCTGGGCACTCTGCACAACGTGTTCCTGCACTGCAGCGAAGACTTTATTAACGAGCACCGTTTCAATGCCCTAATGACGCCGTTGGTGGACCAGCTGGAGAACGACTTGGTTCTGGGCAGCGAGGAGCTGCAGCAGGCTCTCACCAATTGCATCGCCCAACTGGCAGTGGCCACCAACGACGTTATGTGGAAGCAGCTCAACGGCCAGGTGCTCCTCAAGACCCGCACCCCCACGCCAGAGGTCCGAATCCTAGCCTTCAACAGTTGTGTGGCCATCGCCCGCAAGTTGGGCGAAGGCTTTGCTCCACTCCTGCCGGAAACAGTACCGTTTATTGCGGAGCTACTGGAGGACGAGCACCAGCGAGTGGAAAAGAACACGCGCACGGCGGTGCAGGAGTTGGAGACTATTCTGGGCGAACCAGTACAGAAGTATCTTTAAATTTAAAAAAAAAATTGAGTTCTAAAAAATAAATGTTAAATATTCATATATTAATCATTAATATTCGTAAAATATTGTTTTTAAACTTATTTATTTACTTCATTCGGAATGAAAAGTCCACTTAGTCTAATGTACAATAAGAAAACAATCAACATGATCTTGGGCTTGGTCTTGGCCTATGTGTTGTAGGTGTAGGAGATGGTGGGTATGTGGGCGTTGTTGAGCGTGTTGTCGTGCGTCTCCTTGTCCTCGGGAATCTCAGGGTCCTCGCGCTCCTCCTCCTCGTCAATGATGCTGATGTCGCGGATGGAAGGCCGGTGGCTACGACGCCAGCCAGTGAGATCCTGCGGCTGTTTGGTCTTGGTCAGCAGCTTGGTGCCCGTCACGGAGATCAGGATGGCGCCGAGCGGAGCGGTCAGGACGATACTGAATACGCAGATGGTCTGCACGATGTTCGCCCAGTTACGTTCGTCATCGGTAGAGTTCTCGTCCAGATGCTTGAGGGCCACGGGTCCAAGAGCAGCCTGCACGGTGGCCTTGGCCATCCAGGAGAGACCCACGAAGAACTTCTCCTTGGTGTTGAGCCGGTCGCCGAAGGCTATGCCAGCGGTGGTCAGGATGCGGATAATGGCGCCCGTGAAGATGCAGGCCGCTCCCACCGATACTGTGTGCGAGTCCAGCTCGCGAATCTTGATGGTGGCGCCGGTCAAGCCGAACAGGATCGGTTCGAAGATCATCCAAAAGATTTCGAAGGCGGTGGACACCGGGTTGTCCTCGACGTCCCAGCCATCCTTGCACCAGAAGAGGTTGGAGACGAACGCCGAGAATACCACGGCCAAGGGACCAGCTCCCTCGAAGCCCAGTTCTTCGCTGCCGTAGATGGCCATCAGGCCGCCGGTGAAAAGGAGCAGCGTCCTCAAGGGCACCACATAGGCATCACCCTTCTCAGGGAAGATACGTGCCAGTGTTCCCCAGACGACGCCAAAACCCAGACCACCCAGGATGCAAACGGGGGCCTGGGCAATCTGGTAGCCCAGTCCCTTGTCGGAGAACATCACCGTGCTGATAATGCCAAAGATGGCCACTGAGAGCGCATCATCCACACCGGCCACGGCCACCACCAGGGTGGGAATGCCCTTGGCCACGCCGTAGCCCTTGGTGCGCAGTCGGAACAGGCAGGGCACAACCACAGCTGGCGAAACGGCCGCAATGATGGAGCCCAGCAGGAAGGACCAGATCCAGGGAAGATCGAGCAGGAAGTGAGACATCACCGCCATGACAACTGCCTCCACGCACCACGGAATGATGCCCAGCTTGAGGATGGTTTTGTACACTTTCTTGAAGGCCTCCGGCTCCATCTCGAGACCAGCTCGAGTCAGGATGATGGTCAGCGCGAATTTGCGCAGGTGAGCCGTCACCTTGGAGAAGTCACCATCGAGATTCACCCAGCCAACGTTCTGGAAAAGGGAAATAAATAAAATGGGAAGAAATAGTTAGCCAAGGTCTTGAAGGATAACCACTTTTGAAGGATAACACTCACCTGGAAGAGAATGCCCACAAGGAGCATGCCAATTAGTCGGGGAAGGGTAGTCAGCGATATCAGGTAGCCACCAAAGTTGGCGGCCACAGTGAGAACGACGAGACCAAAGAGCTGTCCTCCAGGGGCAGCCGAGTCGCCAATGATCACAAAGGCTGTGATCCAAATGAGGACACCTATAACAGGATATAATAATGAATTAAATCAGATATACCCAAAGATCAAGGATTCTCTTACCAATCAAAATTAATGAAATTAATCGGGAAACAGTCCTGAAAGTGGGACAGAGCGGGTAGGGGAAGATCTTCTGCCAGAAGGGCGGCTCCCAGGAAGCGGATGGCTCCTCGCCGCGGCACTTGAGACAGAATGTGTACATCCAGGATTCCTCCACATAGTTGGCTCCACCATTGCTGTCTCCTCCGGAGTTGTGGCCCATCTGGTGGCCATTGTACTTGGCATTGAGCACGTCCAGAGCATTTTGTCGATAGTTCTCTGCAAGATCAGAATAATTTAGTTCTAGGATCTATATTATAAAATTTAAATAAAAATAGGTTGCGAATCATCAAGGCTTGTTTACTGGAAACGGCAGCTGGAAAAGTATCTCATCACCCGTGATGAAACTCTAATTAGGTGATAACTATGGGTCTTTTTTTGAAGGGGAGCCCATGATCAAATACGTCAAAGGCAAACCCACAACATTTCCGATAATTGATAATGTCAACTTGAATATGAAATAGACGCAAAACCAGCGCCTCTCATCAAACATACGCCGAACTTGAGATATTTGCTATTTTAACTGGTTAATTCATATCACAATCTCAGCCAGAGTGTGATAAAGTCGAACTCAATTTTGTGAAGTATTTAGGTGGGAATCTTCCACTTCTATTGTTAAATTTTGGTAAACTTTTGGTATAGGAAGAGGAATGTCTCTAAACTTACTCATACTCAAGATATATCCGTCAGAAATGTGTTTTTTAGATAGGCCGCCAATGATTAACTGCCATTAAAATATTTTAAACTCTTTTACTTAAAAAATATAGTCATTATTAGCTAAGAATTTTAAATTCCAATACCGTTAAATCAATCTTAACGGCAAGCCTTCTTTTTTATGAAACGTTTCAAATTCTTAATTCATTTTTGCGGCAAGCCCCTTTCTACTTTTTAATGGTTCACTCAACCAATTCCTCGCAAAATTCCTTAAAAATAAATATTAAAAAACTCACCATAACTATGCGTTGAACCACTATCGCTTTCATTGGCGTGGGGCACTGGTTCCTTCAGAATGCTCTTCCTTCGCGCCGGTCCGATATCCGAGTGCGAGTGTGTGGAGGTCTGTCGGGGAAATTTCGTTTTATTCAAGACTTATTTTTAACCCACCGATTTCGTTATCTTCGAACTGAAACTCATCCGATAATCAAGGCAGGTACAAAATGTACGCAAACGACTATTTTCATTAGGAGATTAAACGAACAGTCCTCACAAAATCCGATTTTACGATGCCCGCCAATCGAACCGACTGATCACGGTTGTAATCAACAACCACACGGCACACCCGAGCTCTCACCTGTGAAATTTTCCGCCTGGGGTTCTGCTCATAGGCGGGATTATCGTATCCGGAACCTCCGCCTCCGATTACAGGCGGATCCGAAATAATGCTGACCCGTCGCTTGGGCTGGCTCTCTATGACGATGGTGCTCTTGTGGTTTCCGGATCCATTGCCACTGCCATTGGCATTCGGCATGGGTACATCGCTGTGGACAGGTATGGGTGAGGGGGCCAAAATGGTGGTCGGTGTGGTGATAATCGCTGGAGGACCTCCGACAGAGGAGTCCTCGCGGGCGGCTGGCTCTCCCGTGGCCGTCATCTTGTGGCTCTGTCGAAAGGGAGTTTTAGCCATGATTATCTTTGGTCGATTGATTGGTTTATGGATAATATTATGATGTTAATGGCGGCTAGGCTTACACTGAACATCTGCCGCCGTTGCGAATGGAAGGAATAAAAATATTAATAAGCGATACGCGACTTTTTACAACTATCTCGTTCGGCGTTTAGCAATGAAATAAATTCATTACCAAGCTCTGGGGACTCGGCCAGCTGCAGGTGCTAACTAATACTAAGGCAAAGCCCTATCCATACACAGACACCTGCTGTATGCGGCTATTATAAGTGCACTGAACAAAAAGAGAGGGTGCTAATGAAAAATACTGATGTTAGATCCCGAAGCAGGGGATACAACTTTTACTAAAAAGCGGCTTCCGAAAGTAAATAAATATAACAAGACAATTGTTCTTGATTTTTCCGGTAATAAAAAAACTTAATCTATTTAAAATCTATTAAGAAAACTGTAAATACATTTTATAGGAATAAATATTGTATTAACCAATTCATTGCAAATGGATGTTTATTACTTATCGCGCATACGCCCTGTGGACCAGGAAACAAAAACTTGTTTTAACTAGAATGTTAAATAACTTTAAATACCTTGTTTAATAAAATATTTATAAATTTTAATAATTAATTGAGACTGTGATATAAGCTATTGATTACAATTTATTTATTAAATATATTTATTTTTCAGATTTTATAAATTACGCTTAAAAGTAAAAGTTAATCCAATTTTAATCATTTCGCTCAACTTTATTTTTTTTTGCAGTGTACATGTGAAAATTTGTGAAGTTGTGAAAACGTTAAAGAGTAACGTAAATATTAAATAAATATTGTAAAAAAATATACTGAAAACCCCAATAAAAATTAACAGCAATTAGCTTTAATTATATCACTGGGGCGACTAGCACAAAATGCGGTCTGTGATATGGAAACATTTGTGTATCTGGGGACCTATGAATATGAAAAAACCTGGTCGGTTGTCACTTTGATGACCAAGAAGTGTTTTTAGATATTTATTTGGCGTTCAATTATGACGCGTTTTATCTAAACAAATTCACGTGAGTCCGGGCCAGGCTTAGAATGTATTTTTTGTTTTTTTTTTACTTTTATTTTTACCGTCGCGTCGAGATGTCTCGAAATAATGAGTCTGAATTGATTATTTCATACATTTGGGTGATTATTTGTTTTTTGGGTCTTTCCGTTGTTTTTGTATTGTTTTTTTTTTTTTTTTTTTTTGTGGCTAAGAGAATAAATGTGACAACAAGTCATGCGGTTCGTTAGCTGAAATCAAACAAAACCACAGGCCTGCCGGTTGCCTGGCAAAATGTTGATTTTAAAATATTTTTTGTCGTTTTGTTTGATATTCAAGAGTTATACAATTTGCTAATTTATGGTTCACACAAAAGCTTGCAGCACATATAGCAGTTGACAATTAATATCAAATTCCTGTGTAATGGACCAAAAAATGGGAAGTAATTTCGCCTCCAAAGGAGATACCTCCGATCGTAGTCATTTCAATTACTTTGCCATTAAAGAATGTGCAACATGTTGACTTTATTCACGCTCTGATTAGAACCCTAAATATAGACTTAAATATGTATGTCCAGGGTGGCCCAGGGGTGTTGATATCAGGAAGGGAATGGAGTACTATATTTGCAATCACAACTGCATAATTGGCCAGCCACGCTCAATGTTTTCAATTTTCACCTTTAATTAGCGCCGATTCAACAAATGTCTGCTATTGATATGAGTAATTTGCCGCGATAAAAATTGTTTTAGACAATATTTATGCTTGGACAATCACCTCAGGAGTCAGACAGGGTCTGAGATAGGCTTTCCTTGTGATTCGGACTGAAGCTGAGTCTTAATCTGGAGCTATGAGTGCCTCCAAGTGGCACTTTTTGGGGGCTCGGGGCTCTAATTGACGCGTGTCTGGCCGCAGACAGTGGCGAGTTGACAAACTTTTCGGCACATGAGCATCAACATCATCATCAGCACCTTATCGGTATCATCATCGCAATTTCAGCGTCACGTGCTATCATGCGAACAAATGGCGAACAAAGCGACTTAATTAGCATTCGTGTGTCATCTGTTAATGTTTTAAGCCATAAAAGCAAATAAATATGGCCGTGTAAGTCTACAGAGAACACGTTGGTGTTCAGGTCACCTCTAGGGAACGATTTTTGGAGAATCCTTTAACAGGACAATTATGTTTTTAAAATTCCAAAAAAATTATATGAATAATTTTTAAAAACTTTGAAGCTTTCTTTATTAATACATTTTTGATTAAATTCTTTGATTGATTTATAAATAATATAGCTACTTCCCTTTTAACAATTTTTAAGCACAAATAACCTTAAGTACCCTTATAAACCATAAAATAAAGATGACCTAAAAAGCAAAGGGGAAATACCTCTCAAAAAGCTATTTTAGGGTTTTTTTTCGATGATTGCAAATTATTTTTTCATTTCTTTTTTTTTTGTCATCAGTTTTGCCGCTCTTTGACCTTGCTGGAGGTTGCCACCACCCCCTGCACAGCACCACCCACCGCCTGGGCAGCAAACCAAAAAGCATTTTGCATTGCCAACGAATCGACAACAACAAGGATTGAGTCTACGTGACATGTTTGCGAGATCGAATTGGCCGAGGCATAAGCAAATTCGAACAAGTTAGTTAGCTTGGGTCAGTTGACTGGAGCGGTTGTTGCCCAGTTGTTGGCCAAAGCCGGTGAAGAGCCGGTGGGCCCCACCTCCAATACTTATCAGGGGCGTTGCGTCGCCAAGCCATTTTCGGCCCATTCGTACCAAAAGGTTTTCTTAGCACGCTTCAGGCCTCATTGCACAACAGGCTCAAGCTTCAAATGGGGGGGCCTACTTAAGCATTTACATTTTACACGGATTTTCGAATTACGTAGGTGCCCTGATGATGGCCGAGGGTTTTTGTTTATTTTTTTGGTAGTAGTATCAGCTACTGGTGACGTGATTCGCTTTTAACTTGGCCCAGACGTCCCCCCAAACGCATTTCTGTTCTTTAAATCGTGTTTTTGTAATTAGCCCTGTTGTTGTTTTATTGTCATTGTGTTAATCTAATCGACGGCTCTCAGAGGGGACTGTCTATAGAACTGCTCAATAATAGATAATCATGGCAGATAATAAGTTTCGCATTCTTATACAATTAATCCCCAACTTGAATGCACAAAACGTGTACATTTTATAGAACAATTCACTTGAATTGTCGGAAATCCAAATGAAGGAAAAAGTTTTCGTCTTTTTTTTTTGTTTAATTCTTATCACTTAAAGTCACATGTGCTATATAGAAATATTTTTGTTATTTAACTAATTTTCCGCTCAAGCCCTTCTATATTTGTATGAGTTTTAAGTTCATTTGAAAAAGACTAGAGATTCTAGGAAGTTCAAGGAAATGGCGTATAATTAATACTATTAGAATTCTAGACTAATATTACTTCACTTTTAATAATATTTTTTATATTAGGTATTTTTTAAATATTTATTTTTGAAAGGCTACAGATGAACTCTTTTGTAAAAAATCAGTTACATTTAAATTTTCTAATCAGTTTATTCAAAGGCGTACATGGCGTATAATTAATATCGCTAGAACTCTCGTTAGAATTTTTTAATAATGTGATTCGATTTATATTTTCTGTATTACTTTAGGGGAATATTTTAGTTAGAAGACTAGAGTTGGAAGGCATACCCCTTAAAGTAATAAACTCTTCTTAGAACTTTGAAGAAATGTAAGTCTGTTCTGTTTTTGAAAAAATTTCCGTCAACCTTTTAAAAGCTAATAGACTCCAAGCACCTGTATTCTGAATAATATTAAAAACAACGTATTATTGTTCCATTTTTTTTATAACGAGTCCCAACAATTGCAATTCATATCTTTCCCAATTGGGCATCAATAAAGCTCTGTTTATTGCCGCGGATCGTTTCCTGATTTTATAACTTCAGATTGACGTCAACAAGTCGCAGTTCAACTCTCAGCTCCGGTTTTGCGTTTCAATTGATGGATCAATTGATCAATCGTGGAGCAGAATAATATCAGTGATCGGTGAAATTAAAAGGAATTCCTTAAATAGATTGAATTGAAGTTGGCCAATTCTTTTATTGCAGTGTTTGGCTTAATCGTGGCCAGGCTTTCACAAGGCTATCTCGAGTCGTATATTTGCATTAATTTATAACAAATATAAAAGACTTTCAATGATTGATCGCATCATTTAGAAAATCCATATAATATATTACTGTTCTCGGCTCTGAAATGCGGTCGATAAGAAAGGGCGCTTACCGAAAAAGATTTAGTAATAAAAACCGAAATCGAAAAAAGGAAAATAAAAATCCACTAACCACTTGACAGAGGTGACCATAAAAAGCGAAGGGGCCACGATTGGCTATCGATTGTTGGCCAGATAAGAGAGGGAGCAGGGTAGGGGTGGTGCTGGGGCTGGGCTGGATTGGGGTGGTCACCCCTTATCGTTCCGCCGGATGAGTTAATTGGCTTATATTGCCCTACTAGCCGCTGTGGGCTACCGGGTGACGGTGTCTCGATTGTGATTGATTCCAAATGCTAAATACGCAGCCCGTTGACTGAATTGCAGTCCCGATTGTGATCCGATCGCGAAATATGTGTGATTACTCCACTTTCGAGTGTTTCATTAACACAGCCACTCCACTCGAATATCAATCAGCCATGAAACCCATTCCCATCGGTACGCTCATTTACGATTTTAAAGTTCGATTTCCCCCCGATTTCCTTTTCGGATTTCGGTTCGGCTTACTTCTCGGGAATGTTTTCTTTATCTCACGCTCACTCAATTGCGGGAATTGTTTATTAAAAAATTATCAATATCTGTAATCCGATGTCGGCTCTACTTCACACCACACCCCACCTGTTTGTTCTGGCTCGGCCTTTTGTCATTAGTCGCGTTGACAACTGCTAATTGCGGTAAGTGTTTATTGGCCCAATTTTCGAGGTATATGATAAGATTCGGTTTTGGTTTCGTTTTTAATTATGCATGTATTTCCCTTACATTCGGAATAGGTTTCGTCTTATCTCCGCTCTCTGGAGGAAACTTCCTCAGGTTATCTGGCTCGTTGGATGATTTACATTTTTGTTGATATTTTGGATGGGCATTAGAAATACTGTTTATAACACCGCTTTTAAAATTTATCTTGACAATATTGCTGCCATTATGTTATAACTATATATCAATTATAAATTACTATAGACTATTAACGATCGTATCGTAAACTCCTAAATATTTGTTTGTTATTCTTTCAAAACAAATTCTCATATAAATTAATAAAATTATTGAACCCTTGTGGAGTTCGCTTACAAATATTTTATAAATTATGGTACAATTGGTAGCACTGCTAATTGTTTTTCCTCATGCAATAAAATATTCTTATGCATTCATTTCAGAGTTCATTAAGAAATCATTCACTTGGCATTAATTTCGGTCAAAATGCAAATGAGAAGAATAAACGTAAATAAAATTTAATATATTATATGAAACAAATTAATAACTTTCGGAGCTCAGAGTCGAAAGCAACCGTTTTTAATCATAACCGAGTGTAATTTGCATTTGTGGCGGTTTTTTGCATTTAATTGGTCAACGCATGTCTACCAACAAAAAACACGTACGGCCAGATATGTGAAATATCTAAAGTATGTACTTTATTATATCACTAACCATACAGCATATAGACAACCCATTTCATACAACGAAAATGGACGCGAAAATTTCTGCTACGCCCAGCCCGGCGGATTTCTTACGCTCTCTTACGCTCATCGTTCGTTCATCTTACGCTCATTCTCGCAATAAATGTTTTCTGTTTCTCAGTCTCTAACGGGCGCGATGAAGAAGGTTGGCCTGCGCTTGGTTGATCTTTTATGTATGCGTGTCACATTCACATAATGGGTGTATGTGTGCGTGGATTTCTTTCAAGCCAGCGCACAAATTTTGATTTTTTACTTTTAGGCTTGCTACCCTAACAAATTCGGGTATTCGTTATTTGATGAATGACGAAAGAAATTATATTATTTTTATATTATATTTTTATTATTTCAGCATACATTTTAATTTATTTAGGAATAGATTAGTGTTAGTAGTAAATGTTTTCTGTATATATATTTTTACGAATCATTAAAATCATATACTAGTGTCGAGTTATTTCGGTCGGTCACTTAAGCGCCGTTTGTTTAGTTTTGTTGTTCTGCAGAGGCTTGTGCATGCCTACTCTAACGATGGAATGATTTTTAGGGGAGGGTGAAGACACGAAAACAGCTGATGGACTTGTTTACCTTTTTGTTTACAATTTTTCAGGCACTTGTTATTATTTTGGGTTATTGTGAGATTTAATTAAATTATTGTCGTTAATTTAATAATTTCCTTATATATATTTCCTTATATATAATACTTTAAAAAGTAATTTAATTCTTCACCCGTCTTCACCCTCCCTAAAATCATTCCATCGTTAGAGTAGGCATGCACAAGCCTCTTGCAGAACAACAAAACTTAAAGCAAACGGCGCTTTAAGTGACCCGACCGAAATATACTCTGACACTTCTCTATATTGATTTTTAATGATTCTAAAAATATATATACAGAAAACATTTTACTACTAACACTTAATCTTATTCCTAAATAAATTAAAATGTATGCTGAAATAATAAAAAATATAATATAAAAATAATATAATTTTTTCGTCATTTCATCAAATAACGATACCATGTTAGTAAAGCCTTAAAGTAGAAAATCAAAATTTTGTGCGCTGGCTTGACGAATCGAGAACATACACCCATTATGTGAATGTGTGCATCATACAAAGATCAACAGGCAGCCACCTTCTTCATCGCGCTCCTTTGAGACTGAAACAGAAAACATTTATTGCGAAATGCGTAATGCGAACGATAGTAAGAGCGTAACCGCCTCTTAATCCGTCCATTCTTGTATAATTTATTTTTTGATTATATCCACTGGCTTTAACGTTGAACTCAGAATATGAAATGAGTATTTTTGGTGCTCGGTGTTTGGGTGCTGGGTGTTGGGTGTTGGATTCTGGGTGTGAAAATGGGTTCTTTTAAGCTGCCAAAACCTACTTTGTATTCACGCGGCGGGCAGGAAATTAGAGAACTTTCCGTTGATGTCTGAAAATCTGCTGGCACTTTGTCACTTTGTCGTTTCACTTCAACTCGGAAGAGTGTAATTTCGTCAATTAATTAAGAACGAGAACCGAGAGTCGTTGCGCCGGCGAAGACTTTTACTTTCATGTTCACGGAGCCGGGGAACGAAATGGACGATGACGATCCGCAACCTGCTGCTTAAAAACACGACTAAATCGCTGCAAATTCTTGCAAGCGTTTTATAGGCACGCACACTCACACACACGCCTGCAGCTCGTTAATACAAAAAAGATGGAAGAATTCGAATCGAAATTAAGGCGCTACTCGCGCTCCCTCGCTCTCTGGGTCACCCGAAGAGCGCCCGAAGTTGGATCGCCCATGTAAGTCTTCTTTATCGTCTTCAGGTGCCGCGATCCACCCACCTGAGCACACCACCTCGCTCTTCGGCCATTCGGACGTAAATCAAACCCGTGTGTAAGCTAGACACTTGCCACTGCATTTCGATATCGCTCCATGGGTCTCAATGGGTATACGATCTATACGGTACGGTACAATAAATGGTCAACCAAGTAGTTTCCTGGACGCGCTTCCCATGCCACTCGACAATCGACAATTCTGGTCATAAATTCAATCTATCAGATCGGTGGGTAGGGTACTTTTCAAGAATTTACTATGGCGAATCCAATGTCATAGCTGTACTTAGCGGTGCGAAAATACATTATTTATGTAGCGGAATATACGACACGAAAAAGTATGCAATAAAAATGATTGATGACTCGAGATAACATTGGTTTTTCTTCAATTAGTCACTCTTGAAGCAGTCAATCAATCGAAAAAACGAAAGCATTTGATGGTTTTATGGCCAAGCTAATCAATTCATAACGCCACAGTCGCGACTTTATACTTAATGTATAATTCGATCAAGTTTAGAGGGGATTAGGTTGATGAATGTACTAATTACTGCTAGTTTTTAAATCGTTTTATTAAGCCAACTAAATCCTAAATCATTTTAAAACAGCTGATAGAAGCTAAATATAAAGAAACTCTGTTTACCTTTCCTGAGCATTACTGGCAAATCATAATACCTTCAAATTTTTTGATAGTCTCAGTTCTGACCTTCTTTGGTTTGATATCTCGGCCATAAAATATGTTTATCTTTATAAAGACTTACAAATGGTAGTCCTAAAAATACTAGATATGACCGTTAATGCAGATCATTGTCACAAATAATTGGATAAATTCTTGCATTTTTGGCTGTTTACTTTCAACTTTCATTTATTTATTTGTTTCAATTTGGGGATTTGAATAAATCAAACTTTACCTGCAATCTAATACCTGTATAATACTGCATGTGTTTTCATGCATGGCATTTAATATTTATTGTAAATTTGTTTATCTAATTTCCGGCAATATATTTACCAATTCTGTGCACCAAACTGTCCATATTGCATATTGTTTTTGCTCTCACACCGCTTTCAACCTGACACGCCGGTAACGACCGAATTCAATTGAATTCGAACAATCCGCAAAATTTGTAGAAATGTGTATAAACTTTTTGAATGGAAGTTCTCTAATTATTTGACGGGGCAAGTGGTGACCATAAAATGCGTCAGAGCAGCTATGTAAGTGGCGACTAAAAATGTAACAGGGCCAGGACCAGGACCAGAAACAGGAATTCGGTTGGGGGGTCACCATAAATTAACTTTGCCAAAATTACAAACATTTTCCCCATTAAAACCCAAATCACGGATCACCACACTCACACTTACACACACACACCCACCTATATATATACAAAAAACATTGGTTACAGAGACACATACATGGACACATGGCTGGATGGGAATGGAGCAATTTCAATTAAAGCTAATTACAACCAATATCGACTGCCAACAATGTCAAGCATCAAACACGACGAAGCCACCCAAAAGGAGGTAGGATGCTGTTAGTTTGGTAGAATGGATGAATGGGTGACTGGTTGGTTCCCTGGTTGGCCCGAAGCCCGGGTAGTGTCATGTCTGGGTCGTGCACTGAGAGAAACGGCGGTGATCCACTCAGAAGGTGTCACTCAATGTCCCGGCGAGGGCCGCCTGCGGGGTGTTAAGTCCTCCGAATGGGGAAACGTAAGTAAATGTTTTTGTCGTTGCAGCTGTCGTCCATTGGGATACGGCTGCCAGGGTGGTTCATGGTTTATTTTTACACATCCATCAGCTCAGCTCGTTTATCATGTGAAAAGGTTAATTCCTTGAAAGATATTTTAAAGCCTACGCTATATGTTCGTGACTAAAGAGTTTAAAGAGACTACGTGGCGTATACGTGATTTTTAGATCTTACAATATTTGTCTCTTATTAATCTTAAATTGATTTTGATGAGAAAAAAGGTTAATTTTACTCATTAAAATTAAGTAGAAAGCTTTTCGTAATCTTTGGTTGCATATATTAATTTTTGGAAAAGCTTTTCGTCGCCTTTATTACGCTAAATGGGATAAAGGGCGACAGATATTCTAATTTGAACAATAAAGGGAACACCCTACCAGGATGCTATGGAGGGGGTGTCTAAGTGGGCGGCTGCTGCTCGAGGGCCCACAAGGCAAAGTCTGAATTTGAGTCACAGCCCGTTGAAAATTCTCCCGTCGCTGCCGTGGAATAATTAAAGCAAATTTGCACTTCAGACAGTCGCCCGTGGAAAAAACAACGCAAACAGCTCAGTCCGCAACGCTGGCGACCCACAACAAGAGCGGAGCAAAACACCCAACCCAGGCACCGGCAAGGACTCCTCCTTCAGCGGTGACTGTGGCAATAACAACAAAAACAATATCAAAGGCAACAACAAAAACAACGCCGGCAGCTGCCACTGCCAACATCAGCAACAAAAAATAAAAAGGGTGCACCAAGAGTGCTTTGGAGGTGGAACTACGACGACAATGGCACCAACAAAACGCCAGTCAGCCGGGAAAGTATGCGAAAAAATTTGTATATCTATGTTTGTCCTTAGGTGTGTGCAAGCCAAGGTACAAATTTATATATGTGTTTGTGTGTTTATTCTAGTATAATATGGAATAGAGCCAGCAACACAAAAACAATGCCAGTGAGTGTCATAGAAAGTTGAAACAGGAGCGTACTTCGTATGGAAGAAGGAAAATGCTAGATGAAAATTGACTTGCATCCGAGAGTCTCCTTTTTTTATTGAAAATTCCCCAGTAATGGTTTCCAAGGTGAGCCGGAGCTTAGTATTGTAAATAAATCATTAAATCAAGGCTGTTCCAGTTTCCACTTCCGCAGAAACAAATTACACGAGACATCGGGTCGTATACGTAATATATTGGTGTTCGCATTAAGTATACGTAGCGTGGTACGCACTTTTTTGTAATAATACTTTTAAAAACTATAAAATTTATGAAATAATCTCGCAAAACATTATCTTCGTATGCGTAAACTTTACGTATGCCTAATATTACGTATACGTAGGAAAAATGTACCTATTTTTTAGAGCTAATTACGTAAAGTTAATATTACGTATACGCGTAGATATGATTCATATTAGAAAAAAATCATAAACAATACAAAATTAAAAGAAAATGAGAAGTAAAATTAACATATTTTTTTTAATCAAAGTCTAGAATTAAAATAAAAGAGTCTGCTCCAAAATGATGGCTATAGTAAGTTCGTTACTCCAGTATTAGGATAAAAAACCACAAGATGAGACACAATAGAAAGATTCATATCTGTTCATGTCTGTTTTTATCGTTCTATCGATTGAGAAATTGAATCGGTCCCATAGTAGACAATAATCGAGTATCAAATTTATATGTATGTATGTATTGCATTTTTCGCGCTATTATTTTTCCCCTTAGATGACTAATTTAGTGCGCCTCAAAAGTGGCCTGGAAACCTTGGCTCAAGCCCCCGTTCCGCTCCCTATTTCCCCACTAGCCGTTGAGAGAGAGTGGCGGCGAAAAAAAAATGAAAAAGGAAACCGAACAACGGCCGCGATGACGGACTCGTGCGGATGCTGCCGATGCCGATGACGATGCTGCTGGCTGCCGATGCTGATGCCGAGACTTTTCCTGTGGCTTTTCTCACTTGCTGAGCGCGCAACAAGGACCAAAAAATGCCAGCACAGCAGCAACAACAATGCCAACAACACCGCCACTGACTACAACAATAATAATAACGAATGGCAACAATAAACTGGGCTTGCGCCAAATACGAAATACGAAAATTTGTGGGAAAAACGAGCGAGCCTCTCGTGCGACGACAGCCACAATAGCAACAACAATGGCCCAACAATGTGGGAAAACAAAATCCTACACATACAAACACACACACACAGTAGCAGAAACACGAAGCTTCTCTCACAGGAAAGCTGCTCAAAGTCAAAGTTTTGGGTGCGTGTGATTGCGTTTGTGTGCTCTACAGCAGTGCTTGAGCTGTTGTGTGAGTATTGGTGGGAGAGATTGTGCCGAAAAAGTTTTCAACTTGAAATTGAACTGTGTGCCATAGTTGAAGGAAGAAGAAGCAGAAGCAGCAGGCAGGAGGCAGCATCAGACAAATTGGAGAGCGCCAGTTGTTGTTCCTCCTCGGATCTCTCTCCTCTATCTGCTGCTGGCTACTGCTGCTGCCGCCGATGATGCTGGGTCGTTGTTGTTGCTACTGTTGTTGTTGTTGTGGGAGCAAAATATTTTAACGCAATTAGAGTCGGAGCATCGTCGTTGTCGTCGCATCACGGCCAAGAGCCAGAGCCAGAGCCAAAGCCAGAGCAAGAGCGAACGCGCACGCAGACGGACACGGAGCTCGGATAAATCGCAAGTAACGAGAAAACTAGAAAAAAAAGAAGCCCAAGAATAGAAAAACGGTTTATGTGTGGAAAAAAATTAGTTTGCTAGCAGGGCTGTCACCGGAAAGTGTAAAAACAGTGTGACCAGCAAAAAAAAGACCTGTGCAGACTCAATTAACTGTGAAAACCTGCTGCTTGCAAAGACAAAGCCACGCACTAACACACACACACTAACGCAAAGTGAGAGTGTCAAGGAAGGAAAGAGAGGGGCATAGTGAAAGATAGAGAGGTGAAGGTGAAGCTGAAGGAGAAGCGCGAACAATTTGTTGAATACGTCGGCACCGTCACAAAAGAACAAAAAGCGAAAGTGAACTCGAGCTCTCGAACTCGAACCAAATGCAAATTGAACTTAAACGGCAAATAGTCCTTTAATTTTACCAAAGTGCAGGCTAAAACAAAACTCTGATCAAATAAAACTAACTAGCTCCAAAGAGAAAGTTCCAAGCGAGGAAAAAAAAAACGGGAAAAAAGGGAAGAAAATTGGCGGCGCAAAAGTTAAAAGGAGGGACAAAGGCGATTAAGCAGCTTGCCAAGGACGAGGACCAACAGCGCGAAAGGTGAGCCCAAATAAGTCATGCAAAGGCGAAAGCACGAAACAAGCAAAAAAAAAAAGAAAGAAACGTACAGCCAAAGTTGCTCCTAGCGACAGGACGACGATGGCAAAAAAAAAGAAAAAAAATAAAAACGCCCCAAACAGATTTTTTCCCTCTTGGAAAGTGACAGTCGTCGACGTCGCCTTGCAACGCCTCTGCCGCTGTCTCTGCTGACGCCGCAGCTTCTTGAGTTGCCGCCGCCGCCACCGCCACCGCCACTGACGCTTTTCAATTCACCCTGAGCTCAGTGGGCGTTGGGAGAGAGCCTTTCCGCCTCCGCCTCCTTCTTGGGCATCGCCTCAGTCTCTGCCAACCCCCCCGACAGTTTGCTTTCTCAGTTTCCTGCCATAGAGGCGTTGTTGTTGTTGGTTTTCTTGTTATTCATAGGCAAACATAGGCAAACAAGCAGAAGCAAAGCAAAGAGCAACCTGCGTGGCTAGGACAACAACGGCTACGACAACGCTGGCTGCGACAACGACGGCATCGGCAACGGCTACGACAAAATGAAGAACAACATCAACGACCGCAGCGAGGGCGGTTCTCAAAATGAAATTAGCCAGGCTCGAATTGTTTAGGGAGCCGGGCCGGTTCGTTATTGGCCACCTTTGGGTTAATGCCATCAAACAGCTCGGTCTGCCCCGAAAAGTATGCTTTGGCTTCCCAAAGCGCCATGTTAATCCCATCAAACAGAATTTCGTAGGAGCCTCACTTTCGGTTTCAACTGCCACAAGTCATTGGCTCAATCCTGCCATAAAGTCAGACCTTTGACCTATATTACATAAATAATGGTCTGATATGGTTTATGTTTTTTTCTTATCTCGGTTTTTTTTAATAAATTATTTATGTTGCTATCGTTTTATTTAAGTTTAGGTTGTGTTTTATAAGGTTTTAACAGCACTTTTGAATAAGTTTGTTTAATATTAAGTTTATGAGTGGATTTAGAAAAGTTTCCTAATAAATGCTTCAAAGAAACTTTCATTATTTTACTTGTTTGAGATTTTAGTATTTAAGAACAACTTTTTATTCTTTCTTTATAGTTTATACGGCTTATAATTATTTTATTTTATTTATGAATAAAGTTTATAAAAGTTTACATATTTTTGTAGAACTTAAATCTTAAAATAAACCCCATTTTAAAGGGATAATTATCGAATCAAGCCTTTCAGATCACTTTACGATTTACCTGTAATAGGTTTGATCCCTTATCTATGAATGTCCTTGACTACCATTAGAACAGCCCTCGTTGTGTCGTCGGCTGGCGATGGCGGCAGTGATAATTCATGTCCCGCTGACATTTTTGGGTCAAAAAACTAAAATATTATGTGGTGGCACTGCCATTCATTTCGTTGAAGTGTGTGCGTGTGTTTGTCTGGCTTTCGGCCTGGACGCTGCCTATGTATATGTTTGTTGTATTTGTGGTTTGTAGTCATTATTTCAACCTTCAGAGCACCAGGCCTTGCTATCTATCATCCCACAGCTGGTTCGGTTGGGTGGCAGAGTGGGGTGAGGCGGTGTGCGTTCCGGCAGATTAAAATTGCATCCGGCGCGCCAAACAAAAGACTGTTGACCAATTTCGCTTAAACATAAAACAGAGAAAAATTACCAGCGATCCTGCCAGAGAGGTTCAATCCTACGCACACACTTACAACAAATAGCGACAAACAAGGGAAAAGCAAGGACAGGGCAGGACACAAATACAAACAAACACATTCGCACAGGAAGGCAAACAGAAATGAATTCATAGTAAAAGTCTTAATTGAAATTTTTGCTTGAAATGTGTGCAGAGGGGATTTTTTACTGTTCTGCGGCACCTAAAATAAAAGGCGATGTGTCCATGTGTCCCTGTGTATATATCACATCTATATAACATATACACTCGTGTATTACATACATATATAGAAATATATATCCTGGATGTTCGCTGGCGGCAACTTTGTGTGCTATCCAGTCTTGGGACAGGCCACGTCGGACGAGGGAAATGGCAAAAGTCCTGGCCTGTGGTGTGAACACGGATCTGTTGTGCAGAGCAGCGTGCGAGTGAAAGAGGTCCTGGAACGAGGTGGGGAGCTTTGTTTAGCTCTTGGCTTTACCTTTGTATCATATTCTTTTATTTAACTTTTTTGTATGTGTTTTGTATTTCTATTAGACTGACTTCCATTCCCAACCAGGCAAGAGGCAATCAACGTACCAAAAGAAATGAGTTAAATGTTTGATTACAAAATTGCATTCAACGCCTTGGAGAATTTCTCTTAATTTGGAATTCGCAATTTCGTTTACTCGAAGCGGGAATTGAGAATCAAATTAAGAAGCAATCACCTAAAGGAATGCAATCGAATAAACTTTTCATTAGATTGCCAAATGTGATTGCCAATAGATGAGAAACACCCCACCCCCAATCGCAGTTGTTCAGTTAATTACATGAAATAGTTGGTTCAAATATGTAATTACCCCGCTACATAAGCGAACTTTAAACAAGTTCAATAATTGGGATACAAACGTTTATGTTTTTTGTCCAATGAATGAATAATAATTGTGCAACGCAAATAAATGTAAATTCATATTTACTGTTTAAAATCTGTTGGGAAAATGTTCCGTTCAATAGGAGGATGTGATGCGAAATATAATCAATTAAAATAATTGGTTCTTATCGAAGCTGATTGACGTACATAATTGCTCATACGTGATGTGGTCTGCAAACAAATTGATTCAAAAAAAGTATTAATAATAGAAAAATGAAATTTAAAAGATTGGGTTTTTGTTATTTTTAATAACATACCATGGCTATATCTTCCCCAATTCTGATCCGATTCTCAAACGGTACCTTAAACGATTTATAGATCGATTCCCCACCATTCCGCATCAAACCCCTGAGACAAAATATTTTTTTAATTTTTTGTCCATTTTTCGTGATGGAATCCCTTGAAAATGGGGTTTTCCCCTATATGGCCCACAGTGATGGCTATATCTTCCCCAAATCGCATCCGATTCTCAAGCGGAGTACCTTAAACGATTCCTAGGTTGATTCGCCACCATTCTGCATCAAAACCCTGAGACAAAATATTTTTTAAATTTTTTGTCCATTTTTCGTAATGGGGTACCTCGAAAATGGGGTTTTCCCCTATAGGGTCCACAGCGATGGCTAAATCTTCCCCAATTCTCATCCGATTCTCAAACGGAGTACCCTAAACGATTTATAGATCGATTCCCCACCATTCTGCATCAAAACCCTGAGACAAAATATTTTTTAGATTTTTTGTCCATTTTTCGTGATGGGATCTCTTGAAAATGGGATTTTCCCCTATAGGGTCCACAGTGATGGCAATATCTCTGTCCGTCTGTGCGTCTGTTTGTCTGGGTCTACGCGAACTAGAGTCTCAGTATTGAAGCTATCGACTATCAAAGGTCAAGGGTCAAGCTATCAAGGGTATATGAACTTCGACTCCGCCCAAAGTAAGCTTTCCTTTCTCGTTTTTTGTAAATTAGTTATATCTGCTAAGTAACTGTATTATATAAGCTGATGATTAGTTGCCACGATAGATCAGCTGACGAAGCTTGTACAAAAACATAATTCATCTATAATTTTTTAAAGAAAACATCATGGCTATAAATTAAAAATCTGAAAATGTGAACAATCATACCTCCATTGCCTACATTTTTGGGCGCCTAGAATTCACACAGTTACGAAGAGTAACATTTTACCTTTTTTAGCGTATGATAACTTGCCTGAAGTTGTTTTAATTTGGTAACTATTCAATAAAATATTTATAATAATTAATTTAAAAATAGTGCCCTCCTCCTCGATTCTCATAGGTTGCACCTAAGCACGCCCGAAAAATCGGAAAATAATTATTTTATTTTATTAATTTTGTTTTTTTTTTTTTTTGTCTTTTTAAGTTGTTATTGTAATTTTATATGTTTTTGTTGTTTTTTGTTGTAATTATTTTTATTTTTACATTTTTAATTTTTTTTTTAATATTATTTTTTTAATAAAATTTGACCTTATATTAAAATTTTCATAAACATATGTACATATGGCCTTTAAATTAGAAGCGGAGAGAGTTTCAAAATTCGCTTCAGGCTGCTTAACTTCTCATCCGATTCTCAAGCGGAGTACCTTATACGATTTCTAAGTTGATTCGCCACCATTCTGCATCAAAATCCAGAGACAAAATATTTTTTTAATTTTTTGTCCATTTTTCGTGATGGAATCTCTTGAAAATGGGGTTTTCCCCTATAGGGTCCACAGCGATGGCTATATCTTCCCCAATTCTCATCAGATTCTCAAGCGGAGTACCTTAAACGATTTCTAGATCGATTCCCCACCATTCTGAATCAAAACCGTGAGACAAAATATTTCTTAAAGTTTTTGGCTATTTTTCATGATGGGATATATCACGAAACGATATACCATATAAGCCTTTTTTCGCCCAAAAAAACAACTTAAACTTATGTTTCTATGTTTCTAGTTTCCTTGCTTTTTATACTCAGAAAAAAGACTAAAACCTGGCCTAAACTTTGTTTCCAACTTGGTTATTGGGTTAACATCACTTCCCTTTTTTCTGGCTAAAATGGCGCCCAAATGTCTGGCTTGGTGCAGCCGATAAGTATACACTTCTTCCCACAAACACCCGATTATGGCAATACATCCCAAGTTCAAAATATTTCTTATCGAAAGTGGAGAATTAACAAATGACAAAGAGATTAGGGGACATAAGTTCTGGCAAGAAATCTACATGACTATAACACAAGATCCCACACTTTTAGCCCCACGTTAGGCTACACCCCCTGTGGGTGTCCGCCCCAAAGTCATTTGCTTTGAATGGTGAATGAATCTGAATCGAAATGTTGTGTTGGCTAAAATTTATGTGTCTATTGCTAAAGGATTCTATGGGAAAAAGGGACACAAAGGAGACACGGGATCTCGGAGGGGCTGTAACGTAAAAGAACATGAAGCCGAAGAAGAA